CCAAAATTCTATGAATTTTGATAAATGTTGATAGTTATAGAAATGTATCAGGCCTTTTGCTCATAGGATCGCTATGAGTTATGCTCAACTCAAAGGCAATCAACAACAACAACATCCATGAACAGGGAATATTTTTTCCATTTATTTAGTCTCTTATTGTTTCTCGCTATAATGTGTTATAGTTTTCTTTATAAACGTCTTTTTTATCTCTAGCTAGGTTTATCCTTAAGTATCACAATTTGTGACTGACTACTGTAAATGTTATTATTTTCTTAGTTTCCTTGTCTATGTTTTCTTTGTTGCAGTACAGCAATACTACTGATTTTTATATATTGATCTTGTATCCTGCTAGTTGACCGAATTGGTCTACGCGGTCTAACAGTTTTTTGGTTGAGTCTTGGGATTTTCTGTGTGCACTATCATAATAATCTGTGTCTTTTGACCTCTTTGCTAATTTCAATGCCTATTTACTTCTGTTATTTTGACCTCACATGTACTTCCAATACAATACAGTATTAAAAAGAAGTGATGAAAGTGGGCATCTTTTTTTTCTGATCCCTGTTCATAAGGGAAGCACGTTCAGTCTTGATTTTGTGCACATACTTTTCACTATGTTGAACAAATATCCCTTTATTCCTGCTTGCTGAATATTTTAATTAGGAGGAGGTGTTGGATTTTGTCGAAGACCTTTCCAGCATCAACTGATAGGATCGTGTGGTTCTCATTTTTTGCTTTGTCAGGAATGACATCCACTTCCTAAACAGCATGCCTCTGGAAACTCTTTGTATTCTGATAAATGATGATAGTTACAGGAAGGCTTCAGGCCTTTTGTTCATAGGGTCGCTATGAGTTGTGCTCAACTCAATGGCAATGAGTAACAAGAACAGCAACAATGTGATTAATTATGTTCTCTTTCCTAGATGAATTATCCTTTCATACTTGTTATGAATCCCACTTAGTCATGATGAATTATTATTTATATATTGCTGATGAGGATTTTGATAAGTACTTTTGCATCTGTATTCATGAAAATATATTTGCCTGTAGTTTCCTTTTTTTAGTAATGTCTTTGTTTGGTTTTGGTATTAAACTTATGCTTGATTCAGCCAACTCTGGGAGTGTTGGTTTTCTTTGTATTTTTTTTTTGTTTTGTTTTTGTTTTCTTTGTATTTTTTTTAACAATAATTTAAGTAGAATTCGTGAGAGATCTTCTTTGAATGATTATAGAATTCAGTTATCTGGGTTAAGATGTTTTTTGGTGGGGAAGTCTTTTTATGACCTGCTCAGTTTCTTTTTTTGTGATAGGCCTGTTAAATTGTCCTACATCTGTCCATATCAATCTGGGTAGAGTGTGAGTTTCAAGGAAGTTGTCCATTTCTTAAAGGTTTAAAAAATTATTGGAGTACAACTTTGCATAATATTCCAATATTATTGGTTTTATTTCATCTGGTTCTGTTGTGGTATCACCTCTATGATTTCTTATTCAAGTTATTTTTATATTCTCTTTTCCTTTATTATGCTTTCCAAGAGCCAGTAGTTTCTCTATTTCATTGACCCTTTCAAAGAACAAAAAACCAAATCCATTCTACAAATGATCTAATTTCTCCTTCATATTTGATGGACAGCTTTGTTGGGTAAAGGATCCTTGGCTAGCAATTGTTTTCTTTCAACCTTCTGTATATTCTTGCTCTCGTGGTTTCTGCTGAGAAATCAGAACTTAATCTAGTTGTTTCTCCTCTGCAGGTGACTGTTTTTCTCATGCTACTTTTAGAGTTTTATCTTTATCTTTGAATTTGGAGAATTTGACTACAATATGTCTTGGTGGTTTTTACTTTTGTGTTCTAGTCTGTGTGGGGCTCTCTGAGCTTCTTCAGTGTGGATTTCTTTATTATTTATGATTCCTGGGAAGTTTTCTTCTAGTAGCTGTTGCACAATTTTCTTAGTGCTTTCCTTGCTCACCTTGTGTTCTAGAATTCCATTCATTTGTATTTTGTTCCTCTTTCAAATATTATCCTACATAATTATAATGTTTTCTTCATTTTCCTTCCATCTCCTCTCTGATTTTTCTTCTAGTATGCTCCCATTGAAGTTCTTGTCCTTTAGCTCACTGACTCTCTTTTCCATCTCTTCTGCTCTGCTTTTTTGTCCTTCCAGCATGTTGGAAACTTCTGATATTTCAGTCTTGATATTCTGGATTGTGTTGTCATGCATTTCTGTTATTTCCGGTACTGTGTTGGCTATAACATCTCTGTCTTGTGATTATTTTTTTTTTTACATTCTTGTACCTTTTTATCTATAGTTTCAATTCTTTCTTCTATCTTTTGTAATTTATTTTATAGTTGTTCATATTTCTCTACATTGATAATTTTTTTTCTGGCCCCCTGTTTCTGGAGTATTCACTTTATTTATGGCTTCCATTCTTTCTTCCATCTTTTGCACTTCTTTCTGTGGCTATTCATATATCTCCACATCGATTTATTTCTTCTGATTCCTTGTCTCTGGAGTATTCATTTTATTTATGGGTTCCAATCTTTTTTTCACCATTTGTATCTTCTTCTGTAGCTGTTCTTATGACTTTTCATCAATATGTTTCTTCTCCTTTCCTGTTTCTGGAGAAATCATGAATTCTGTCTGCAATATGCTCTGTGTTTTTTTAGAAGGCTATCCCTCCCCATAATGTTTGAAGCTGCCTGTTGTTCTCTTGATATTATGTGAAGATTTTCTTTGTGTAATGCCAATTTCTACTGAATCAAATTCTTTATCCTCATGATGCTGTCAAATAGTTGCAAGCGTAAAGTGTTCCATCTATGAGGATGGGCAACTCACTCTATTGGAAATCCTTTCTGGGCCTGTGGAGTGGGAAAGGCTGCCTTTCCTGAAGTTCTTCAGATCTTTTCTAGTCTGCAGTGCAGCCCTTTGGGAATCTCATTTATAAGTTTGCCCTCTCTCCTGAAGTTTATTGGCCTCTTTGACTTGCAGAATGGCATGGTCAGGCAGGTTCCCAACCTGAAGCAGTTTCTGTCTAGGGAGGTGGCAGGCAGCTCCCTCCTTAGCACCTCAATGTGCTGGCTCTGGTTGTGAGTCTGATTACAATCCCATCTCTGAAATTCTGTTGTCCTCTTTGGTCTGTGAGCTAGTGTTTGCGGCAGCCAAGTAGCTCCCATGAAGAAGTTTCTTTACCAGGGAGTTGCAGGTCCCTCACTCCCCAGGACCTGAATGTGCTGGCTCTGGCAGTGAGTCTTTCACCTGATTGCAGCCCCCTCTCTTGAAATCTTTTGTCTTTTTAGGTCTGAAGAGCAGGGCAACCAGTTTCCCAAACTGGAGCAGCTTCTGTCCATAGTGGGGACAGAAGTACTAGCACTTCTGATGCTTGTTATCTTTGAAGGTAAATTTGTAAAGGCTTCGTGCTTATCCTAAACATTTAGGAAAAATCTCTCTTGTGATGAAGTGGATTATGAGTTTTGGGGAAAAGGTGCATAACATAGTCTAGTACTTAAAATACAGAATTTTAGATGAGTCATTAAATGATGTGGAGTTTGTAGACCAAAACTTATGGTACACCTTAGGGGAAGTGACAAAAAAAGGCTGTATAAAATTTGTGTGATATTTCTGCAGAAATTTATTAGTTTTCATAAAATAACCCTGTAGTTAGTTATATCTTGCTAGGTGCCATAAAATAAAATTCTATTCAAGGAAACTCCATGTGACACAGTAGAGCTGCTGCATACGTCTTTCTAAGCTATAATCTGTACAGAAGATTGCCAACTCTTTCTACGGAGCTTCTGACTTGTTTCAAACTGCCAACTTTTCGGTGAGCAGCAAAAAGCTTAACCTTTTCACCACTAGTACTCCTTCACGTGGCATCTTTGTTGTTGTTAGGTGCCATTGAGTAGTTTTGTTTTGTTTTGGTTTTGCCCATAGTGATATTATAGAATTTTATCTTATAGAATTTTCTTGGCTGAAACCTTTATAAGGGTAAATATTTGTGTACTTTTTTCCTGCTGAACAGCTGGCTAGTTAAAACCTCCAATCTTTTGGTTAGCAACTGAGCACATGGCCCTTGCTTTATAGTATAGTTGAGAGAGCAGGAGTTTTAGGATTAAAATGACTTAAGTTCAAATCTATACTTTAGAATGATGACTGTATTGGCTCTCTAATGCTCCTTTAACAGACAGAGCACAAGTGAATAACTGTAACAAACGTATTTATTCTCTTACAGTTCAGGAGTTTTCCAAATCCAAGCTGCCAGTTCTAGGACAAGGCATGCCTGTCCCCTTCTCTCTCTCTCTTAGTTGGTTGTGGAAGAAGTCTTTCTTTTCATGTTTTTTTTCCTGGAGATTTCCACATGTTTTGTTCTTCCCTAATTACAAAGAGCTTTGTAGTTCAGAGGCCTGAGTCCCAAAAGACATATTACTCTTGGTGATTATTGCTTGGTGATGCTGAGGTTCTCCCTTCTTTTATCCTTTCCTTTATCTCTGGCAAAATAAAAGGTATTACAGACTATGTCCTAGGGATGTAGATGGGATTATATGTAACATTCCACTCTTAATCCTTCTACCACTATTACATAAAGATGACAGGGAGAATTGATGCCTTTGAATTGTGATGCTGGAGAACAGTACTGAATATCCCATTTTGGACACCCAAAAGAACAAATAGATATATCTTGGAGAAAGTGCAAGAATGACAAAGCTTCATCTCACATACTTCGGGCATGTTGTTAGAGAAGCTATTTTGTGGAAATGGACATCACGCTAGGAAAGTTGGAGGATCGAGGATAGGCTAAAGAGAGGCAGGCCCTCAACGAGATGGATTGGCATGGTGACAGTAGCAGTGGGCTCAGTTGTGATGATGAGGATGGCACAAGATAGCACACGGTTCAGATCTGTTGTTCATAAGGTTGTTATGAGTTGTATTCAACTTGATGGCACTTAATAACAATAACAACACATACACACAAAAAATGCTTATTCACAGAAGACACTATTTTGAATTTCCAGGTGTAATTGTGTGGAACCCCATAATCCCAGCAATGATACACTGAAGGAATGGAGGGAATCCAATATATCTGCCTCTGACATAATTTGGGAGAATTTAACTGTGTCGGTAAGTGAAAAATTAAAAAAATTATCATATCTTGAGTCATTACTTTGTGAGCCTTTGTTGACATTTTGAATTAACTATTGTCACCAAGATAAATTTTTTAATGCATATTAATATAAAAGAATAGGGTTTTCATTTTAATTTGAGCAACTTTAGAAATTCATCCATAAACTGAGATTTCCTTTCATTACTAATCTTGAGTGTTTCTAGTGGTTACTAGGACTGGATTACTCTAAACGTGTACATATACAGAATAATACAACTGAGATTAATGGAAAGTACATTAAATAAGAGTGGTATTGACCTAAATGAAACCATATGACAGAATTAAGTCTGCCTTCTGTGAAGCAAACCTAAAATGCTCTTTCTAATACTGCTCCAGCTGTTCAGAATATGTGAAGGGGGAGGGGATATTTATTAATATTTCAGTGTAAATATTAAAGTCTTTGAGAGGAACAAAAATCAATTTTCTTAATAAAATTCTACCATCTTAGTAAAGGCTTTCTTTTTTCCATTTATTTCTTATCTTTCAGTCAAGAAAGAAAATGGCAATGCATTTTTCATTTATCTCAGTTAAGCCCTGTACCTTTGTTTAATTCCCTTTAGTTTATCTCTGTTTTGTGATTCTTTTCTGTCATAAATTTTTCAATTCTCCTTAACTTATTATATTTTTGTGGAACTCTCTATTACCATCAGTTTATTCTGTACAGTCAAAGAATTTAATTTAAAAATAGGAATGTGTTCTGCATTTAACAAATATTAATTTATTAAAATGCAAATATTCCCCCTGGTTCAGTGGTGGTAGGTTATTATAAACTACTAACATTAGTACAGCTAAAGTTATTATACAACCTCCCACTACTGAATTTGACTTTAAAAAAACTGAATATTCCTATTCTTTTATTCATTTTGTAGTTACAAACGTAATAAAAATTTTCTACTGATTCACCTAGCTATCTAAACTCAAAGATCAATACAGTCATAAAATTTTATGGATTCTAGTTCATTTTATCAAACACTAAAGTATATAGTTTATTTAGTAGAACAGTTAGTGAAATAAACAGTACAGATATTATAAAATGTTTACCACAATTCTTATAATAACACATCAGTTAAAATCACTAAGATTTTTGTCTCACTTGCATTGCTGTATTTTTCCTTAATATAATCATCAACATTTTAAAAGTAAAGCACTGTGCTAATTGGTATTATAACTAGTTTTGGAAACATAACCAAGTTGTTATACTGTCAGAACTAACTCATAACTGACCTTCCAGTGGGTTTTCAGAGGCTGTACATCTTGCAGGAGGAGATTGCCTTCTCTTTCTGACTACGGCAGTGAGCTTGAATATGTCAGAGATTGTGAGGATGGCACAGAATAGGGTTCACACGTGCTGTTCACAAGGTCCCTATGATTCATACTTAACTCCACTGCACCTAACAACAACTCTTCATAGCAGCTGGTGATTTGAACGCATGACTTCAGGTTGGCAGCACAACTCCCTACCACTAAGCTACCAGAGATCCCTAACATCACCATAAACATGATTATATGTGTTACTTATTTGGCAGTTCCTGTGGTGTTTATTGATTTACTTGGTAGCTCATAAATTATACTTTTTTACTTCCTTAACTTAGCAAGGGCAGGGAACATTATCTTTAAATCCCCCAAGTTGCTATATACACAGTAAGTGTGCAATTATTTTTTATATGCAATTACTTATAATTATTGCTTTGTAAAGTAGCCCTAATTTACTAATTCACTATTTAATATAAATCTTTTAAGGAAAGCTGTAATACTTCTGTTTCTATTTTAAGTATCTTATGGCAATGTTTAAAATATTCACAGTTAATTATCAGTGGGTTAAGAATTTTATTTGTGCTAGACCTACATGTTTGCATCTATGTGTCTGTACTAAAAACCAAAAACCTCATTGGTGTAGAGTTGGAAGCTACTCATAACTGACCCTCCTGTGGATTTTCTGAGACTATAAATTACAAACAAGGGGACTGCCCACCTTTCTCCCTCTGAACTGTCTGTGGATGTGAATTGCCAGAAAGACTTTATCTTAGGGATACCGGTGCAATTCCCTAGGACTACACAACCAGAGCTTTCTGTGTATCTACAATGGGCAGGAAATAATGCAAAATTTACTTACGTTATAAAACTTAACTTTTACCAATTTACAGTTGACATTTAGACCCTATTGAACAATGTTTAGCAGAAATCAGTTTATCAGTAAGCTGTATTTTTTTTTAATTTACTTTATTTTTCATTTCAATGAACATCTACAGAGATTTTGGAATTCCATTCATTCATTGTTGCACCCTTCTCCCCTCACAAACCCCTTTCAAACGCAAAAGGAAAACTCCCTCATTGGTATCCAATCCCCCACACACATCCCCCAACCCTCAAATATAATCCACTCTGCAACCCTCATTGTGTATTCCTACAATAAAAATAATGCCCTAAAATATAATACTTTTAGACTATTCTCTCCCCCATAGACTTCAATGCCGTACACATATTCCATCCAGTTTTTCTCAGTCTTACCCCACCCCAATGCCAGCCTCATTCTACAACAGTGGCACCATATAGCATTTGCCCCTCTGTGACTGAGATACCTCACTCAGCATAATGTCCTCCAGGGTCACCCATTTTGAATAATATTGCATGAGTTCCTTGTTTTTCAATGCAGCATAGTATTCCATTGTGTGAATATACCACAGCTTCTCTACCCATTCGTTTTTTGATGGGCATTTAGGTTGTTTCCAACTCCTTGCTATTGTAAACAAAGCCACGATAAACATGGATATACATGTATCTACTTGGATGTCATTTATGGTCTCTTTAGGGTATATTCCCAGTAGTGGAATTGCTGGGTCAAATGGTATCTTTATTTGCAACTTTTTGAGAAAGCGCCATAATGCTTTCCACAGTGGTTGCACCATTTTACACTCCCACCAACAGTGAATAAGGGTTCCAGTCTCTCCACAACCTCGCTAGCATTTGTTGAGTAAGCTGTATTTTAAGTGTCTATGGTAAGTGATGGAACTCTGGTGGCTTAGTGGTAAGGAATTTCTCTGTCTGTGCATGGGTAGGAGGTTCAAATCTGCTAGCTACTCTGTAGGAGAAAGATGGCCAGTCCCACCTATGCAATTAACTGTCTTTGAAAACTTGCTGGAGGCTCAGCTATGAGTCACTTCCAACTTGACGGTATATAGCAACAACAACATGGTAGGTGCAACAATGTTTTAGAATCAAAATAGACTACAGCAGTTCAATTTCATTTCATGTCTAACTCTCAGGGCTTGTTAATATTGTTGTGGATAAGTTTGTATTGGAGAATATAATTAATATGTTGTTATTGTGTACCACTGAGTCAGAACCAACCCTTAGCTGACCTTCTGGCAGATTTTCAGAGGCAGTTAATCGCAGGGGAGGTGACCGCCCATCTTTCTCCTATGGAGCAGCTGGTGGATTCAAACTGGCATTGTAGCACAGCTTCTTGCCACTAGGCCACCAGTCCTCCCAATGAATTTATACTTGAAAATGTAGAATTTATCAAGTAAAAGGTTTAATTTTTCTTTTTTTAATTAACATACTGTTCTTTCAAAAGGGAGCTTTGGGAGTTTTGCTTCTAACCCAAAGACCAGCGCCTCTGTGGTGCTTTGAATTCACCAGAAGGTGGGAGGGAGAAAGCTGGGCAGTCTCCTTTCAGAGGATTTGTGTCTTGGAAAACCTAATGGCAGGACATTTATGAGCTGATTCTGACTGGACAGCGATTAGTTTGAGTACACTCAAAATAAATAAGGGATCGGGGGAAAGGCTCACAATAAAAAAATGTTATTTGCTACTCAAACTCCTAGGTGTTTATTATAGACTATTACAGTGAAATGATCCTCTAAATTGCATTTATGTCTTTAAGAATTGAGAACGAGATCTAGCCAAGCCTAAAGAGTAAAAATTCACGAAGAATCTTATACTGCACAAAAGGCAGAATATTGCCTCAAATCGATAGGTAATATGTTTCTCATGGACTTATAGTCCTTCTTTAAATTAGTCTGTCTATTCACCAATTATGTTAGCTATTGATCTACTAGCATATGGATAGAGAAAGAGAAGAAACTAAAATGCAGAGGACTCATTTTTGCTACTTATTTTTTATAGAGCTTATAGAGAAAGAAGATTAAAACAATAATTAAGACCCTGGGGAATTTTTCCGAGGGTTTTGTGTTTTGTGTTGGTTTATTTTTTTTTTAATTAGCCAAGTTATTGTGCTTTGTATATGAATAACTGGCATTCCACTTTAGACAATAGTTGGATTTAAAGGGGTCAGCATTCTTTTAGACAATTTTTTTCTTTTTCTTTTATTATTATTATTACTAGTTTTCATGAAAATTTACAGAGATTTTGGATTTCCATTCATTCATTATTGCACTTTTCTCCCTGCCCACCCTTCCCCGGCAGTTCATTTTTCTCTTTGAAAAGTAAGAGTTCTTTCATTGTTAAACTATCCATCCCCTCAAGTCCACTCCACTATGCAGTCTTCCGTTTAGACAATTTTAAGGTGTTTAACATAATTTCACCAGAATCCTAAACTTAGGATAGCTGCCCCAAATAGGTTTTGCTAGTATAACATTCAGTTTTCTGATGATAATGTAGCCATTTTGTGATTTATTCTAAAATTTTTGAAGTTACTGATATTCTGAAATTCAAGGAATACAAAGGGTAAAAATTACATTCATATTCAATCGTACTTTATTATGATAACCCATCCTTCATCCATATTTTCCTCTGAAATCTCTCTGTACCATGGCCCGATTCAGTTTCTAGTCAGGGTGGGAGTATTTCAAGAACAAATGAAGTCACTGGACCATTTCAACTATTCTTTTGAACTAAAAAATTCTTCTTCAGAAATTTAATTTTTTTTAAATATAATCTTTTGGGGATTCTCTCCCTACCCCACCCCACCCCCCTTACGATACTTGTTTAAAATGCTCTCAGTTTTGCTTGGAGAAAGAAGTTTTTTTAAACTTTGCTGCCACCTTATGGCTAAGGCAGTAATTATAAGTAATCTTTCAGGGACATTGAAATACATAGAATGAAAAAGCCTAAAACCTTGGAGAACTGATAGTAATGTGATCTTTGCTTTGCTCATGTAAGCAATTTTTTTCTAGTTTGATTTAATCTTAATTCAGTAGCTGCCTTTGACACTTCCCCTCCCAGTATTTATATGTTCCTGTTTTTTTCCTTGACTTTCTTGGAAGCTGTTGCACTATTCTATAAAACTAATGTTCTTGAATACACAGTAATGCTCTATCACAGGTGCCATGTTGGCTATCCTTAGCAACAGTAAGACCGTAAAAAAAATCACTTAACCTCTCTAAGCTGTTCCCTCAGACTTAAAAAGAAAAAATTAGCCAATTTAATAGCATTAATATAAAGGTTAACTGAAATAATTACAAAACTTAGCAGAGTAACTGACCCCAGTAATCATACACCATCAAATATGCTATATGTCTAATAAACTTAATATTAGAAACTGAATAGGTTATATATGCATTGATTAACTAATTAAGTTTAAAGGAAAACATTTAAATATAATTCATACTTGTTTTATATATTATAGATCTCTATATTTGGGTATATCTATCCAAATAGACTGTTTTGTCTACTAACCCACTGTGAGGCACATGGAAAAAACAACTTCATCGTAATCCTAAGATAGTAATTTTCTAAAAGCAACATGTTGGAGTTTTTTTTAATAACCCATTTGTTTTACTTCATCTGGCAGGAATGCAAATCCCTGCACGGAGAGTATGTTGGGCGAGCCTGTGGCCACGAGCACCCATATGTTCCAGATGTTCTCTTTTGGTCAGTGATCCTGTTCTTTTCCACAGTGACTATGTCAGCCACTCTGAAGCAGTTCAAGACTAGCCGGTATTTTCCAACAAAGGTGCTTAAATGAGAACTTTTATGGTCAAAATATAAAATAACCTGCAATATATTATAGAACCATGCTTGTTTTAAAAGAAAGAACAATTGATGGGGTAGAAGGCCCCACTCAAAAGTTTATCTGTTGTGGGTAGGGGTGGAGTTAGGGAGGTGACAAGGAATCATTTTAGGACACAAGTGGAAGGTTCACATTTCCTCTAGGCTTTTCTCTTGACTGCAGATCACAAGGGTAGACACTCAGTTTTTCACTTATGTCTGTGGAAACTCACCGCTCCTGATCATCACTCTCTTGCCCTGAGAGTAGTTCAATTGGGAACTATCCCAGTTTGACAGATATCTCACAGAAACCACCCTTAACATCTAATTGGGAAAGCCCCTTCGAGGCTCATTGGAAAGCTATTCTCTTTTTCATTTTTAGAATGTCAGTCCATCCCTTAACCCATCCCTTTACATTTGCATATTTGGAAAGGGTAGTAAACAGAAAAAGCAGTTTAGTTCAATATTTAGCACTGAAAAGTAACACCTATCATGCAGCATTCAGGGGGTAGGGCAAAGAAAAGAAACAAGAAAGCAAGCTCTTGAGGGAAGAAACAAAGAGCATAATCAAAATTTCACTCTGGGAAAACACTTTAAGTGCATTTGCTACCACAAACACTTCTGTTTTGCTTTGGAGTTTCCCCCTCTTCCTTTCCTAATTAAGGTGGAAAATTTGTTTAACTGAATGCTTAATTGGATTAATAAAAAAATTAGTGTTGTTGCTATGATTATTATTGTTATTGGTAAACTAGACAACGAAGTGTTAGCATTTTGTTTCATGAAAGCATCCTAATAGAAGTCAGATTTTGTTGATAATCATATATAGATGCTTGCTGTAAGATGGCTTTATAAATGAGAAATGGAATTTTTCATTTCTAAACACTAGCTCACCTATAATATTATTTAAATTTGTTAACTCTGTCATTCATATTCTCTGATGCCATAGCTATGTATCCCAAAGAAACAAAAACATTATATTTAATACAAATATCGTATTACTTATTTCTTTGGGTTTATCATGTTGTTGTTATTGTTTATCATATTGTTGTTGTTGATGTGTACTGTCAAGTTGGAACCAACCTATAGCAGATCATCCAGCGGGTTTTCAGAGGTAGTTAATTGCATGGGAGGAGATGTAATATCTTGCTGATTCTCATCATTGTACATCTGTTTTGTAATAAACACATAGCACACTAGTTTTAAAAAAAAGCCTTAAAATTCAGCCAGTTTCTAATCATGCAATTTTATACTGCATTCTAAAGTTTAACACCTGTGAATCATAATACACTTAGATTTTAAATAAATGCTTACAGCAGCACAGCCACCTTTATAACTTTTCTGGAATGCTTAATTCTAGAAATGCTGATTGTGTATCAATTTTAGCAGCATAGATATATAAACATATATATTCAGGTCTGACAGTGCTAATGGTAATATTATAGCATGCATAAAATATAATATTATGATATTATGTCAGAAAGTGATAAAAAGTGTGACTCCAGATTATGTTCCTGAGTAATCAACACTGATTATAGTTCCCTCAAGTGACAAGTGCTTTCATTATTTCTAGGTTCGATCAATAGTGAGTGATTTTGCTGTCTTTCTTACAATTCTGTCTATGGTTTTAATTGACTATGCCATTGGGATTCCATCTCCAAAACTACAAGTGCCAAGTGTCTTCAAGGTGAAGTGATAATCTACTATCTTGCTAACTTCCTATCTCTCCAGGTCTAACATCTATTAAGATTTTGTCCCAGTACTTGGGATATTCTTGAAAATGTAAAAAATGCAGGTTAACAAAGCAGTAAATAAAATGTCTACCGCAGGAGGGGGTAGAAGTGGATGGGTATCCTGCGGGATGGTGAAGCAGGAAATAAGTGCATAAAGATGCATGTGAGAAAGGCAGGGACAACACTGACACTAAAGTTAACTCTGCAATAAGGGATATACCTTTAACTTGCTGGTCTGTCTGATACTTCTCTAAACCTGAACATTCACATT